AATCAACCAAGTCAAACGTAAGACTGATAACACATAAAACAATAAAGAAACTAATAGGAGAAAAAAAAGAAAGACTTTCTCTTTCTTGTGAACAATTTGCTATGGCCATTACTCAACATAACTCTACACTATATATATCAATTCGTGTGATATATAAATGACACAATTGTATATAGAACTGTAAAATTCAATTAGACGATGATATTATATCATATTTACTTCCTAGATGCTAATGATACCTGCAATCGAGGATAGGATAAACAGATAGACAACGAGAGAAACTATACAAATCAAGACAAATGAGAATTTGATGAAGAAACAAACAAAAAAACGAGTTGCAATAGAAATAAACGAGATAAGAAGAGCTTACAGTGTGATACGAAAAGACACAAAAGGAACATCTCTTCGTTGCAAATGAAAAGGGAAACTGACTTGCGCTTATCTTTATGTCGGCATCAGACTCCTGTCACGCTATACATACACACACATAGATATAGACATATCTGTGCTTTGTCTATTTTGTGATGGTTGTTGATACGATGGTGTGGCCAAATGAGAAAGAGAGAGAAAAGAGGGAAGACATGTTGATAGAAAAAAATGACAAAAATTGACGCACTATTTTGGTATTATATTATTGAAGAGTTTGAGATAGTATAGATTATAAGCATAGATAAGATGGATAAATCTTAACTGTGAAAGTATAACTTTGTTTTTGTTATTTGTCTCAATGTAGTTTTATAAACTTTTATGTTTTTATACAAATATAAGACAAAATATAATTTCATTTTGCCATAAAAAAAGTAATATCAAGTTGAATTAGGAATACAATACAGAACAAATAATAGTCTTAGAGATATGTCGATGCGACCTTTTATTTTCAAACATGAAACAAAGACGACTAATAAAGTTTTAACTAAAGAAAGGAATATACAGGATGGCGCAAAAGTCACGATATCGAAAAAAAATTGAATATCTCCCTTGTGGCTTGAACAAAGGAGCTAATTTTTTTTAATCAATGATAGAGGTATGCTTACACTCTATATCCACAAAGGCAATGATAGAGAGAACCTTTCTTAAGTGCCACTATTGGTTTCAACAAAAAAGTTTTACTTTCTCACAGATAGGAAAAAATAATGTGCAGGATTGGAAATAATATTTTTCCAGGAGATACAGGTCAAACGACAAATGATATAAAACTGAGTTTTATATCAAATGAAAGCCCATTAAAATGGGATATATGAGTATAACTGATAATCTATATGATGACTATGAACTAGAGGCTTATGGAAATGTAGGAATATGGTTGAAAACTTCCGTGGGTAGTCAGCGACAAAACTACAAGGTTCTTAGAAAATTGATTAGTCTATCTCTCCTTTTTGTAAAGCTCTCTTTGCTGATAATTTTGGTAAAAACAAAATTATCAGCGAATAGAGCTCTACAAAGAGGGATATAAGAATCCATTTTCTGCGAACCTTGTATTTTCCTACCTTGCACATTGTTTTTTCCTATCTGTGAGAAAGTAAAATTTTTTTGTTGAAGCCAATAGTGGTACTTAAGAAAGGTTCTCTCTAGCATTGTCTTTGTGGATATGAAGTGTGAACGTACCTCTATCATTGATAAAAAAAAATTATCTTCTTTGCTCAAGCCATAAGGGAGATATTCAATTTTTTTTCGGTATCGTGACTTTTGCGCCACCCTGTATGTAGATTTGAAGATAAAAACCTGCTCGATTCAATGGTGTAATGATTATAGGATTCTGTTATGTGCATAGAATTGTATTAAATTTGACTCGATTCTATATCATATTGATTTCAGTATGCGCTACAATACAGTTCAGATTGGATAGAACTGGATCAAAGCTAATATTATTCTAGGCACACAACAGAATTTGAGAATCTATAAAGCATATAAATAGCGAAGTTTTTCTTTACAAACTCACCACGGATGATGCAGAAATAATAAGGCAATTCTTTAAATAATTTTAGCTATCTTATGTTAATGAAGGAAATTTTAGAAAAGGCTCATTCGATACAGAATTTAATTCTCTGCAAAAGCTGCTATTTGAAATTTACGGAACAATACTCAAAAAACGCTCATAGGTGAATTTCAAAACTGCACAATGCGCTTTTTGTCTTGTTCATAAACGTTATAAGTTACTACCTCATGTGTAATTTACTCAACAATTATATACGACTATATAGCAAAGTTTGTGTTTGATCAAGTCAATTAGTTTATAAGTTCACCAGTCTTTCATGATACCTACATATGCCCATAATTCGTGATTGGTCCGTTTTTTTTTTGGCAAGACACGATCTTTTTAGCTTTGGCTTAAACAAAAATAATGCAGAATTTAAAGCTGACTAGACCGATACAGCAAGAAATTCCTTGAATTTTTATTTACTTATAAGTTAAAAAAGAACTAAAGAGTCTGAAAGATAGATACATAAATATCAATTTTTCAAATTTATCACTGTTGTTATATTTGAAAAATGGATAACTAAAAATAAACAAATTTTCTGATGATGTTGAAATTCATAGACGATTAGCAATTGACATGGCGAGAAAACCTTTCGAACTTTAATCAGATACAATTTGTATTTTGAATGTTATTCTGAAGATAATTGAACTCTATAAAATGTAAATAACATCTCTTTTTTGAAATTTGCACCAGTTAGACATAAGATAGTGAAAAATTGGATTACAAAACTGTCTCTTTACTTCTGCGCTACCCATTGTGATATCCTGTCCTGTAGCAAAACATCACTGTAAAACTTATCATCGACTCTACAAATATAGACAAATTATGCAGTGATTGAAATAATCATTGTTTCATTATCTGTTTCGTAAACACATTTTGTTCGTTGTTTATAGCTGCTTCTGCATTGAAGATTTCTATTTGATGATCAATTTGGTACAAGAGTATTTGGAATAGAACAAAGCTATTTAAATACGCTGATAATGAATTCAGTTAAAATCTCAAATGTTATGTAGGCATATATCGAGATCAAAAATCTCGATCTTGAACTCAGTGTATTTAGTAGTGTCCTACGGGAATGAGGGCGTTCCTGAAAATGCTTATTTTTATGTATATACTCTTCAAGCTATGATCTTTCAAACAAAAAAGTCGTTAGCACAGCTACTTTATGGCTGAAATGTAGAACTCACATATTCTATATAAGCTATCAGATAATTTAATATAAATTTCTTTTTCATTTAATGAAATATACTTTAAAGTTTGGAACAAGTAAAGTTAAACAATGAAAGATTTACTAGCTTATTAATAATGATTAGCATTACTGACAAAATATCAGAATGTTTTTTTTTTAAATCATTTTCAATATAATTAAATTGTTATTGATTCTTTAATTTATAAAATTAAGAGAGATATCCGACTAGAAAAATTTCACCATTTTTGATATCTGCTCTACATTTATGGTCTTAACAATAAAATTAGACAATATTAAGCAACAAACGGTCATAATATGGATAAGTGCGGGTATACTAGTGTGGTTGAAGACAAGATCCATAAGTACAGCCACAGCAACATCGACACTGACATACTTGCACCTCGCACACTATTTCGAAAAAAAACTTTCTAATGAAATTCTACCCAATGTAAAAACCTTTTAGGATCTAACTAATTGCTATGAAATATAGAAAGGATTTCCTGTTAGATACAGTCTATATTTTTGTTTTTGTTAGACAGTGAGAATCCATACGAAATCTGAACAAATCAATTACAATGAAAGTATTCTTGCATATTCCTGATAGATAATCATGTAGATATTATTGTTAATCTTCTTATTTTAAGATAATACAATTTAACAGATGAGCTGAATAACAATTTTATTCGTTAGTCTCTCATATTTACGATTGTTCGTGGTCATCGTCTCTTACATGATGTTGGATTATTAGCTAAACCTAAAAGAACTTTGGACAATAATGTTAACGGTCTTCATTTTTTCCGCTATCCCAAAAACAAAACTTTTCCTATATATATAGAAATTGATTATTCGCGAAAAAGAATTTGATAAAACAAATATCATAGTAACTATCCATGATCAACTTAGTTTGCAAGCTCTATTTGATTATATAATTTATTTAGGAATAAAGATAAAATATTTTGATAAAAAGAAATTTCTTTATCTTTTTTCAGTCAAGTAAAGTTTTACCTTGTTCATTTCAATCCAATCATATTGATACTGATTCTGGTATGAAAACTATTGGTACTTATTTTTTAACATTATTTAAATGTCGAATAAGAAATTGACTTGGTACAACTTCATGTATTCTGATAAATAATATCGATGAAAGAAAAATGTATGAACAATGTCCTATAATAGTTTTATTTCTTATTATTGTTCTTGATTTATGTTTAAGTGAAAAAGTTATACGTGATAAATATGGTGGATTATCTATTGATAGTATCTATACATGTTGATCACAATTTTCTTTACTTTGCGATTGAAAAAATTTTGATGATAACTTATTAATTATTATATTATTAACAAAAATATTTAGTATTGATGACCATTAATTTATATAACATGAACACTTTGATAATATATCCCAAATATATTTATCATAATTAATTGATAAACCATTAAACTTAACAATTACAAAATGTTTTTTACTTGATTTATTATCATTTTTTTTTCGATTCAATTAATATAGATGAAAATCTTTCAGAAGAAGAAAAACGTCGAAAATAGTCTGAAATTTTCTTTCTCGTACATAATACAAATTTACTGCCGATTGTTTTCCATTAAAAAGCATAGAATTTCATAAAAGTACACAAGAATATCATTATTATTAAGCTGCTATAAGAAGACTTAATCATCATCTGAATTCTTGTTATCATTTATATTATGTGAATTATTAACATGAATATTATGTTATGAACAAAATGATATATTTCAGGATGAAATATTATTATCAACAAATCGTTATATTGTTAAATAATATGATCATATAAAACAATTAAATTTATTTGATTTTATTTATTTAATTATATTTGAAAAAAATTCATTATTTCGCCTTGAACATCGTTTAAATGCATTAGAAAAACTATTATTAAATATATTAACATCTGAAAAAAAAACAAACGCTAATTGATTTTTATAATAAATATATATGTTTATTTGTTATTAATCAATTAGGTATTAAAGTTCATCTAATGTCACTAATAATAACATCAATATTTAATTATTAAAGTCTCCACATATTGTTTAATTGATTATATGTACAGTGGCTCCAAAAATTATTCATACAGGTGTAATTTCGATTTTTTCCCTAATGGTAACTCCTATGAAGAATCCAAATAGTGATTTGGATAGAGAAAATTGTTTCCAACAAAGGTTCCAGAAAGATGAAATTCTCATCTTATT